ACGCGGTAACAAACTGACATTTATAATATTACCTGTATTTAATATCAATCACCAACAGTTAAATTTGGTAATCATCTAATATAAAAAGATATTGCCAACAAAGATCGCCTATTCATGACATTTAAAAAAATATATATATACAATAAATAATTTAATGTATTGAACATTTTCTAAGTGATATTCTCCAAATGCCAAATCCAGCACCTCCGTGTATATTGTATTATGAAGCATTCTCCAGAAGTGGGGGTTTGCATGTCTGGGGCCGATGCCGGCGTCAGCTGTTAATTGCAAGCAAATGTCGTGTTTGCGGTTTCAACCACAGAATGTGACCAATTACCTTACGGTCGACAAAACAAACACTTTTGGGGGCCTTTGGAAGAACTTTACTTAATCTCTCCACATATAGCCTTGCTTCCTCTCCTCTCCTCTTGTGAGAGGAGAGGAGTAAATAGCATGGTATCTCATGCTATTGAGATATAGCATTGAGATATAGCGTGGTGGTATCTCATGCTATTTACTCCCCTCTCATGCTATCAGCAGTGCTTACTCCCCTCTCATGCTATCAACAGTTTCCGCTTATCGTGTGCATCCGCAGTGCATTAGGCTTTCTCTCGTGCTGTCAACAGTGTATTAGGCTTCCTTTCCACTCTAGGATGTCACTTAAACTCCAAAACAACTATTATAACCCTTACAAAATATACAGCATTGACAAAATTAGTACCTGTGTAAAGAAGAATGCTTTTTATCTTCAAAATTGTCTAATTACTAAACCGTCTTCTTTTAATTAAGCTGTACAAATATTAAAGTGTTAGATTGAAATTTTGTTATACAATTTAATCATCATTAAGAGACATTGGCATGGGAAAAGTGTAAAACCAAGAGATCAGTCGATTTGTTAAACATTTAACTCAAGATAATTACAAGATATTTTTATCTTCATTATTAAAAATATCTTCGTCACTAGAAAAATATAACTTGGCATTTATAATACAATTTCTACTATTTAATTTATGATGGGGCTGCCAGCAACCAGAATGCACCATTGTACAACAATAAGGAATATAATATATGCACTATGTACATTTACAAAATATATGAAGTGAGGATGATTTACAATAACTAAATTAGAAAATATAACACTATTTACATTTAAAGTGGGAATTCACACAATTATTTGGCGGTCACACGCCAGTCCATCCCATACTTGACGCCTTGTGAGGTTGTCAATGGTTTACGGGTTATTCGTGCCCGTGCCACCTCTTGGGTGACTTAATCTTTATCAATCAATCATGTCAATGGTCTCCAGTGTCAAGCAACACGGTCTCCAACACGGGCGGTGCCCCACACTGCGGCCAAGTCCCCGTACTTACTGACCAGTCGAGAAAACTCTTGACATTTCCAGATTAAGAGGCAACGACATCGGTTAAGAGCTGAGTCACCTATATGTAGCGATTACTGGAGAGCCAATATTATTATTATATATATATATATATATATATATATATATATATATATATATATATATATATATATATATATATATATATATATATATATAATATATAGTATATATGTGTGGGTGTCGTTATCGCGGGGTCGTATTAGGACCTAAATTGTACAGCTAAACGACAAGCAGACATTGCCATAGGAATTATTGTTAAATTAAGTCGTTCAAGTCACATAGTTGTAGTGGTCGCCTATTTTTGTTTTAGTTTATTTTTACCACATCGTTGATATTAATTTTTAAAAATACGCTTAAACACGCCGTATCTTTGCGTTTATGCTGAAGAACAAATGTTGCAAGTATAACGAGAGACAAATAATACTGTATTTTGTCCGCTATATCGATGAGTAATAAGCTTCTGCCTTTGATAATGAAACTTCCTAACAACACCTCCATTGGACTTTAAAGATGTAGGTAGTACATCATGACTGGTCATTAATTTCGGTCACTTGATATTTACTGATGTCATATCGGTTGGTAACATTTTTTTAACAACTATTATAGGTTATATTAGTCTGTTATTTTACCCTCTTTCGCGTTACAATTGTCACACGCATAGCTGCGCTTGTGGAACTGATTGTCAGTATCTTTAGTTAATTATACGCGTAATAATACTCCATGGTGGCGCGGTGTAGGCTGGTCGCCCCGCCCTCAGTGTGACGGGCTGGTCGCCCCGCCCTCACTGTGACAGACTGGTCGTCCCGCCCTCACTGTGACGGGCTGGTCGTCCCGCCCACACGCAACCCTTTGACTACAATAAATGTCAATCGGATAATATTTATCAAGGCAATAAAAAGTTGTATGTACCAAGGCATGCTTGTAGCTATAGGGTATATTATATTTTTTTTAAGTGGGACAACCCATGGAGTTACCGTTAGTGGCATGTTTCAGCAAATTCTACCATTTTTACCGATATCTGTATAGATGTGTAGTTGAATATCTGTGGTGATGGAGATTAGGCTCAGCTTTTTAATACAGTGTTGGTATACAGTACATGTTTCCTAATCACTTGGCTTCTATCGTGTCAACGTTTGATAACGAGGAAGTGCCTTATAATATCCGTTACTTATATTGATAGCGTCCATGTGACCCGGCGTCCATGCCTCCTCCCATATTTGTTCGTATTATCGCTTCTCAAGGGTAGTACTTTTTAAGCTGTGATCATGTCTTCCCCGTTATTTCTCATTCTCAGTTCTGGGACAAGTCTGGTAGCATATCTTTGAGCTTTATTCAGTTTAATATTCTAGAACTGGTCAAACATTTATGGTGTACAGTGCCCGAAAGTACTCCCGAGCGTGTGGGTACGAACGGGCTTGCCTCTTCACCTTCAGTTGACATAATTACTCCCGCACATTGGGGTGACGAAAAAATATTTTTAACCCGTGTATGGCCTGTCTCTACGTCCTAGTTCATACTACTTTTTTCATACCTAACATTAATTTCTATATAATGCTCTCATTTGAGAAGTTTCCACCTATCCGCGCGCGTTTATATATTTCATTAATTTATATATTTCATTAATTTATCAAGATCATTCATAATGTATCTGCCGTATAGCAAAAGCCTACGTGGTCTCATTGTCGTAGGCTAGTAGGAAAGTATAGAAGATACAAATAAAGCAACATTATTAAGATAAGCCTCTCTAAATTTGATTGCACAGTACGAGAACCTCATCTATATTAAACTAAATGAGTCTGAGGCATCTAGGTGGGGGTCACTAGGATGCCCGTGAAGGGCTACATGCAGGGGGTGTAGGGTAACACATTTGTCTCTGGTATTGTAAAACCAACATGGTGGTGTTGCAGCTGCATGGAGGAAGACCCAGAAAATAAATAAATTTCGTGGTCTTGCACAATGCTACAGATTCATGCAGATAGGTTGAGACAATAAGCTTTGGGATAAAAGTGTATTCTAGCTTAGGAATAAGTTGGACGGTAAGCTTTTTATGGGAAGAATTGACCCCAGAGTGACCAGTTTTCTATTCCAGCACTTCAGCATTACGGTATCCGACAGGGACATGCATGCTGTATCCTTAGACACACGCACCACCTCGGAGGAATTGGAGTTTTTTTTTTTATTTGCACAAGGTGGCATATATGTAAAGTACCATGTAATCCTACTCAACCATTTCAGTATATAAATAAAAAGCAAATGGGATTATCTTGAGATGATTATGGGGCTTAGCGTCCCCGCGGCCCGGTCCTCAACCAGGCCTCCTTTATGTTACATATCCCCAGGAAGCAGCCCGTAGTAGCTGTCTAACTCCCAGGTACCTATTTATTGCTAGGTAAAAGGGGCATCGGGGTGAAATAAACTCTGCCCATTTGTTTCCGCCTCCACCAGGGATTGAACCCGGAACCTCAGGACTACGAATCCGAAGTGCTGTCCACTCAGCTGTCAGGTCCCTGACAGGAAAGTGGCTAAGGAAAATTATCATCCTAATTCAGAGACAAACGATAAGATTTTCCCTGAATGTTCCTAATTTTCTTCTCCAATATTATGGGTCCTCACAATATAAACAGTAGTAGTACCCATCTTTAGTTTTAAAATAAAATCCAGTCTCTACAATCACAAGCTGAAGTGCACAGAGCACCGTTTTCGTACCGTTAATTTTGATCATCCTTGTCGATGGATGAAGAACAAATCACAATTCCGTGTCATCTTTCGCAAACATTAATAAATTAAACATAAACATTGTTTCGGTAGAAGACAATGGTAAGCTTCAGTCTGAAATCGAAATGGGTCTCCTGCTGTGCAACTGAACACATAATGTTCAACGGTGACAAGTAATTATCAGAGGCCAGTATGGGAACAGAAAGAGACAAGCCGATCTCTATCAGAGGATTCAGATTCACTGAGGCTTTTGTCGAGACCCGTGCCGAGTAGAAGCAAAATCTCCGGTCATCCTGAATATCAGAACATTCAACCATGGGAGTTGGTTGTAAGGGAGTTATAACCATGGGTGGTTGTAAGCGGAACAGTGCAATTAGAACAGCGTGGGACAAGTTTCCATTCCATTAAGTTCCAACGGCTTAGGTTAACCTTGTGTGGCCAATGCGTAACCAAGCCAAGGACGTTTCACACTTCCTATTACGGTAATAGGTGGAAGGCCTCGGCGATAGGTCACATATGATGGCACGTGATTTGTTATTGGTACTACCCAGCCATTAACCCTCCCAACGGTTGTGGGTAATATATTGAGTGACGGAGTATAAATCTAAATTGTGTATGAATGTGTTTTGGGAAGACGAAATGCACGCTGATGGCTTCCTTTCTAATTTAAATCATTCGAGGCAACGCAACTTTGGTTATGTCCCCAGCAAAACTCGTACGTTTGTGGTTAAGCAAATCAGTTGTGTTTTTGTAAAGATTGGCAAATAGAGAGAATTGGTTGATGTTCGAGCAATGTCCAGGTCTTAGACTGGGAAGTTGTGGTAGCCAGAATATCTCTCTTTTTTTTCCATGCCCTGACAGTGGGAAATAAAAAGAATTGAAATTGAAATAAGTTTCTTGAGGTATAAATACACAAAGGGATGAGGTAGCTAAAGCAATTCTCATCCCGTTATAAAAAGTGATTTGCGTTACCAAATGGCATGCCCTTTGGTAGGTTAGACTGTTCTTTAGGTTAAAACGCACATTTTTTTTTAAAGACAAAAATAGAAAAACACAAGTTGCTATAATGTTATCGTCAATATTTATAATTTCATTTTATTGTCACCGTAGTAGGTTATCTCCATCGTTCCATTTATACTACTCAAACCTGAGAAGGGGTTTGGCAATGGACATCCTGCAGTTACCATAGCACGCAGGGTCATACCAACCATCCTCAAATAACTATAGTGTATTTGGTTGATGCACTAACATACTTCGAGCATATCTGGACATCAGTTGTTTACACAAGATGAACATCGTGACACAGAAGACGACCGCCCCACAATTTGCCTTAATGCACTGCACTGGTTTGAGGTAAAATACAAAATAATACTGAAAATATTTGTACGTTTAACACGCCGTTAGTCAATTATATTAAGCGATACTACTTTTACAAATGTCACAATAATAGCACATTACACCTTGCTTAGATTTAAGTAACTCCAAATAGTTAATACCAGTTGTTTCTAATTAAAGTGAAGGCAAAACTTATCAACATTTCATTACTGAAGGAGTATGACAAATATCATTATGTGCTTACAACTAGCTATGTTAACACGCATCAATTCTCCATGGCCGTCTCACCCTACAATGGTGTTGCTTGCTTTCTTCAAATATAAACGTTAGTGTAAGATTAACACTCTTTACGGTCTCGATAGAATCCGTTTCTACATGGAAATTTTGTTCAGAGTAGCTGAATCTAAAACAACAACAACGATTAAAACTCGTCACCAGCACCCTATTCATTCTAACGTCACGGCACTTACACCTCCAACTATTTGACAATTACGTTCACTTGAATAGTAATATTGGCAGGAAGATCATTGGTAGGCAGCTCCACCCCCCTCCTGAAGGTCAGTTACTCAGCAGTTCTGAGCTGAGAGTATACAACGCCACACCTGCACCCTGGTGGTCGTGTGTAGCAGTCGCGTCATTGTAAGGGCACAACTAGTTTGTTTTTTTGCTGAAATTGTACAAGCGACCAGATCAAATCCGAGAACGAGCTTGAAACTAATATCGTTGGCAGGACTTTTACTGTCATTTAACCTCGACTGATCCCAGTATTGCCTTGAGCCATGGCTGCTTCTCCGTTGTTCTTGTACTGTAATTATGTTGTCTGAAGCAGTGCTCAATATTGCACTAGACCGTTTCAGCGTTTGTCATATTCCCACAAAGTGCTCACAAACCTACAGCAGACTCGACACACCAACGTAAACTCAGTCCTCAGCACCGGGACATTTAAATTCCACCCCTTGTGAGTAGTAATATTTGTACATTTATGACAGTGACATTTGTTAATTTAAAACGTGACCTTTCTCACCTCATCTAGTGCACTGACAATTACATTGTCTTCCTCACTTTGACACTATTACTCTTGCATAATATTAACATTTATACACACCAAACAACCACCTTTTTTCACAATGCAATAAATAATTACGAGCGTGGCATATCATGGAAGAATATTCGAAGAGCATCTGAAAATGAAGAATTATGGAAACTATACTCGACCTCACTTACATAAGCCACATTCATAAATATCTAAGAGATTAACGAACTGAAACTAAACCTTATTAAACTGTCGTAGTACTGAATTGTGAACAATTTAAATATAAACGCACTAAATTTTTAAATGGGTGACAACAAAAATAGGTGATTAAATTGTGCAAATCATGAACACTGTTAATCACACATATAAATTAAATATCTCATTTGTGAAATCATGTATAAAATATGCGAGTGGGAAAGGTATGATTACTGGAGAAACACACACACATGATAGGCATTCAATACCATTTATCGTCACTACTAACGACATGATAATGGAACTTTAAAACCACTTGCAATTAAATATTCACTGCAAACACTTCTTGCTTCACGGATAAAAGTACTATGACAAAATTAGTTTTCACTTTACTACGTCATTGTTCAGCATTTCTGCTTCACTTGGCCTCCAAGTCTCTTAAAATCTAAACATCACATATTCCACCGTATAAATTAACTTGTACTTTAACCTTTTGTAACTTGACTGACAAGTTCTCACAACTATGCAAGGAGCTACCAAGTTAAAAAACTAGGCTGGTTCCCTAAATTAGTTCTCACAGATATACCGGTAGCTACCACGATAAAAACCAGGTTGGTTACTAAGGACCTGTGAGGCTACGTCCATGACTGTAAGAGTCCAGACTAGTTGAACTACCCCAATTTTCGGAGGCCTGGTGCTGCAAGACTACTATCAGACGTCAGGTGTGAAACGGGTCCATAAAAAGTCTGATGTTGTCCCACAAGATACTCTCTCTGACGGCGGCGAAAACGAATCTGGTCTTATTTGTGTCTGTGGCACAAGTTTCGTGAGAGAAGAAGTTGTCTCTGTTTTTTGCAAAGGTCACGAAGCGGTTGCGGATATAGTCAGTGGCGCTGCGTGCGTCCCCACGAGGGCCCGTGTAGTCGGGGAAGTACTTGCTAAGGTCTGACCTGGCTATCTTCTTCTGTAGCACATCAGTCTTGTTTAGAAACAAGATGATGCTCGTCTTGGAAAAGCCAGGGTAGTTCAATGTCTCTCGGAAGAGTAGTAACGACAGCTCCAGCCTGTTCATGCCGTCCTCTTCCTCTTGACTCCACGTCTGGTCGTACTCGCTCAACGCCGCCAAAAAAATTATAGCGTTGACCTCATCAAAGAGCCGCAACCACCTCCGTCTCTCTCCTCGTTGACCCCCCACGTCCGTTATACGAAAGGTCCAATTTCTGTCGTGGAAGTCGTAGACGGTGGCGGCGCGCGTGGGGATGCGCAGCTGAAGGACGTCCTCCTGTGTGGGCAGGTATGGTTGCTGCGCCAGACGGTCCGTGGCTGACAGGTAGTAGGCTGTGCTGTCTGGTAGGTTAAACTCGTTGGCTCGCAGCCAGCACTCCTGTGCCGCTACGTCCTCCCACAGGACGCGCATGAGGTGTGCGTGATCTTGAGGTAGAAGCGCGGGCTTCACATCGTCCTCAGTCAGGCCCCAGTCTGCGGGCGTTACCATTGCCAAAGTGTGGGCGGCGTGTGCAGCCTCGGGCGAGCTCCAGGGAATGGCAGCTTCCTGAACAGACGCTATTAGGCGTGTGACACACGTGAGAACATTGTCGAGCACGTGCCGCGTGTAGGAGCGTAGCGAGGCCGGAGACATCCCGCCACTGTCGATGATTTTCATCTGCCTCATGATGGTAGATTTTCCCGTCTCTGCAGCCCCCAGCAGGAGAATGTAGACTATGTGGCTGCGGTGTGTGTCACGGCCCAGAGTCCCACCAGACCCGCCGGACGTCATGGAGGGCACCTCAGGCGAGGGTATGCATCCGCAGCGGCACATGAGGCCACAGTAACAGGACAAGGGACACGCCATGCCTGGCGGCCAGAGTGAGAGTGCGTAAAGCTGCTCTCACTTCTCAATAGCATCCAGGCCAACGCAACACCACCTAGAAAAAAAATGTAGCATTGACACTACTTGTATGCAATTATTTATCATGTAATTCTTCATTGTCGTCCACAAGTTCACTACGTTTCGTATAACTGTTTCGTCATATCAACATGTGCAACTGCCTTTGGTGGAAAACCCGAGGACCCATCTGACCACTCTGGAGATGGTCCTCTCTCTCTCTCTCTCACACACTTACACAGTCGTGACTGAGCAGCCCGGATGCTGCCTCTCCCTCGTTAGGCTGCTAGACTTCAACTCCACCGCACGGAGTAATCCAAACGTGCGAGCCACGAGCAGGAGCACAGCGGATGGGAGGTGGTGCAGGTGGGCGTGTAGGAGGGCAGTGGAGCGCACGAGGCGGCCGGCCACCGCGTCTTGCCACACTGGCCGCCGCCGCCGCCGCCGTCCTCCACACCACCACTCACGCCTGAGGTACGATGACGTCCTCCTCTATAACCCTTCCTACCCTTACATGCACGCTCCTTGCCACATGATGCTCACGCTTTGTTTCATGACGTCGCACACTTGACGTTCATGCCATTTCCACCATTCAGGTTGGCTTTTTTTTAAATATCGACATTAATTGCAATTGGTTTTAACTTGCAATTTGCCCTTTCTGGTAACACTGCTTGTAATAGGGTACATTTGTCAATTTCACTATACCAGTCAAGTGACTTATTATTTGACATGAAGTGTTGTAGACAACGTTACATTCGGTTTATCAATGCTTTAGTAAAAATGGTATGAGCTTATTTTTAGTATATAAATATTTATTCGACGAGTAAACACTCCAACATCTGCGTGGATGTCCTTGATGCTACGCTATCGGTCACAATACAGAAACAACTTTTTGTCATAATGTCCAACCTTTGCGATTTAGAATATGAGCTCTGTACCCTTTTCAAATTAGTCTTGCGTAACTCAACATATCTCGAGTAGATCATACGCGTCAGACGACTCGTCCTTATACAATAACCTTAGATGCGCTCGATCAAGCAACATTACCAAAGACCAAAGTCTTAACGTGCGCCACCATTGGTAGAACCGGATGATGACGTCGGAAGTTAAGGGGCCAATCACCACGTTTGTTATGTCCGGTTGGTGACGTCACGGTCGGGGGGCGGTTGTTTAGCAAGTGTTGATACACCAGCTGGTGCGAGAGAGGCGGGACCCACCCAGCCAGAGGTATCAGTTAGCCAGCTGCGCTAATAAACTTAGGCTCTAGGAGAGAAATCTTTAACTTAGGCTCTAGGAGAGAAATCTTTAACTTAGGCTCTAGGAGAGAAATCTTTAACTTAGGCTCTAGGAGAGAAATCTTTAACTCAGGCTCTAGGAGAGAAATCTTTAACTTAGGCTCTAGGAGAGAAATCTTTAACTTAAGCTCTAGGAGAGAAATCTTTATTTGACATTGGAAGCTTCTAATGACAGGCGGTGGTGGTGGTGGTGGTACCAGCTGGGAGATCTAATTAACCAGAGTTCTTTTCTCTAAATGACAAAACTATTTTAACGCTGATCGGCCAAAGATCTCTGTCGCTACTGTGGCATTGTAACGTGTTATATTATTGATGTATTTTGTTCAATAAATGAATAGATATGGGAACTAATAAATGAGGGTTGAGCGAAACGCAGCATGGTGATTTTTTTTTTATTATAATCAAGCATTTATATAATCAAAGTAAGTACTTTCATAAGCAGAATGAAATGTGCCAGGAATTGTAATATGTGTTAATAAGACCCACAAGTAAGTTTAAAGTAATTAATAGACTAATACAGTAAATTAAATTGCCATCTACAGTAACACAGATAAACAACACAAGCCATAAAGGAGTAACTCTTAAGTTATCAAATTTAGTGAAGTTTACTTAAGCACGTTATCAAGCACGTGTAATAATTATCACAGTGGTGCGCAAGTTTCAGAACTTATTGCGCTCTTGCCTACGCTTAAGACTGTGTATAGCTTGTGGTCCGCCTCCGCCACTGTCCCAACGGACATAAAATAAAGTAATAAATCAAATTGCCCGAACCAAACCTAACCAAGCAATCCACGCATAAGAAACCTGATTGTTTACGAGTAGCTATGATTTAAATTTCCATTTATATAACAAAAGTCATATCCTACACAAGACGGCTTGACAACGGACTATAAAACCTACCTAACCTTACTCAACCTCATTTAACCCAACCCAACCGAGCTTAAGGCTGCCTAACCTAAGCTAATACATTCCAACCTAACAACGTAACGGTTTTAACGAACATAAACCGACAATTGTCGAATCGTCTTGTATACGACCATACCCGGATTTACAGTACATTATATTTATGTCCGTTGGGGATTTTGACGTCAAAATGTGACGCATTTCGCGAGAACAGGTTTCATAGTCTGTCCTTGTGTGCGCTGGTTTATTCCTTTGAGTATTTTGAACGTGTGATCGTTTAGTTACGCTACAATATAAATGCGGGCGGAAATATGAGCAATTTTCCTGGAAGTATTTTAGCAATTTAAACGGCTTCATGCGTTTTTAGATTTTTTGGCGCATTGTCATCATGGTCACAATTATCGCACTCACTATCATTATCGGCAGCACCTTTAGTGTCACCATCATTATTGTTACAAATATTACAGCACATCCTCCTAAAATGAAAGTACTTACAGTAATGTGGTCAAAAGTACGAATATGTCGTGATAGACCCGTAGATAGTAGACTTTTGTTGTATTGAATTTAGACAAACTGGAAAAGTTTTTATATTTGTGACTTATAAAACCTAATGATCCTCAGCCTAATACACGCTGAAGCCTAAATTAGTACACATATGTGCTATATTAGGCCTAGGAATACAAGTTTGGTTTTAGCTTTATTCCGGACTCTATAAAAGTAGTACAAAAAGTGGCTTACTGGGCCCCCATCACTACATATTGATATGATCGACCACATGGTTACAAAAAGCACTATCAAAACATGAGGATGGGTTGAAGTAGTACCATCGCTATATTCGTTTCGTAACTCAACATTGACATCACCATCTCCCCTGTGTTCACCGTTACTTCACTATTCGCTCCTGTTCACCGTTCCTTCACTCTGGGTGGCCCAGCCATCAGCTAATGATCCGCTACAACTGCAAATATTGAAGAAAAGCCAATTATTTAAAGCCTAATATCCATCGCCATTCGTTAGTAATAATTAACGCTGCCGGTTGTATCGTCTCTGTTAACGTCATCATATTATTATCGCCACCATCGTAATTAGTAAAGTCACTTCATTGCTGTCATAATCATTATGACAGCACCACAGCAGCTCCAGCTGTTCATTACAACACACTTACCCTGTAAAGGTACCGAGTTGTGGAAGCGACCTCGACCCATCTTCAACTTTAAGGCCAGATTAGACAGAGAATATAAACGTCAAAATAGTTTAATTATAATGCAACAGATAAAACAAGGCTAGTAGTTGGGGCATAAAAAGCTAGACGCACGGGAGGGGGAAGGGTAGAAATATAGAAATAGCCTAAGTTACTCTATCCCTTCGAGATGTATTTTCTGGTCTCAATAAACGCACTTTAACTTGAAGAGCTAGACCTCACGCCCCCGTAGATACTATTAGGTAAACACCAGTATCCCCACCTGTTCATCACAGACGAGGTTCTATACATATCAAGTACTCGTCCAACTATGTACAGCCAGCGTACACTTGGGTATAGCTGTACCATATCCTCCAGACCATGACTCCTTCCACCTCACACCATACCCATTGTCCCGTATGTCAGTGACTGTAAACACCTTACTTCACCTCATCTTTCATGGTGCATGTAATGTAAACACCTTACTTTACCTCATCTTACACGGTGCATGTAATGTAACACCCCACACCGTGTATGCACTATCCTATGCACTGTCTGTATGTATGCACTATGTCTCCGGAGTTCGACAAATAGCATTTTTCATTCACACACCAGGACCAATAAAATGGTAAATGAGTTACTTTTTCAACTTCCTTCCAGAATGAAGAACATAAGGGGTAAAGAAAAGATCGTGCTTGAATCATTAATCGAACCCTTTTCGCTCATATTCAATAACACAAATATGGTATTGGGGGTGCTATATTAAGCTGGATTAGGGCATGGCTATACCAAAGGAAACAGAGAGTTAGTATAAATGGAATCAAGTCAGAGTGGGAAAATGTTGTAAGTGGAGTGCCTCAAGGCTCTGTCCTGGGACCTCTGTTGTTTATAATATATATAAATGATTTAGATTCAGGTTTGAGTAGCAACATTTGCAAATTTGCCGATGATACGAAAATCGGTAGGGAAATTAATTCGGAGGAGGACTCACTATCACTTCAAGTTGATCTGGATAGGGTTTTGAAATGGTCAAAGGATTGGCAGATGCAGTTTAATGCTGATAAATGTAAAGTTCTGAGGTTAGGTAATGATGATAGAGTTACAAGATACGAGCTAGATGGTGTTGTGATTGCGAAGTCGGATTGCGAAAGGGATCTGGGAGTTATGATTAGTAAGAATTTAAAACAAAAGGATCAATGCATAAATGTTCGTAATAAGGCAAATCGGACACTTGGATTTATTAATCGCAGCGTTAGTAACAAGACACCTGGTGTGGTTCTCAAGCTATATCTTGCTCTAGTTAGGCCCCATTTAGATTATGCAGTTCAGTTTTGGTCGCCATATTATAGAATGGATATAAATTCACTTGAACGTGTCCAGCGTAGGATGACTAAGTTAATTCCCCAAATTAGAAATCTTTCATATGAAGAAAGATTAACAAAGCTTAAGTTGCATTCACTGGAAAGGCGAAGAGTTAGGGGTGACATGATAGAGGTTTACAAGTGGATGAATGGACATAACCGGGGGGATATTAATAGGGTGTTGGGGGTATCAACACGGGACAGAACACGAAACAATGGATATAAATTGGATAAGTTTAGATTTAGGAAAGACTTGGGTAAATACTGGTTCAGTAACAGGGTTGTTGATTTGTGGAACCAATTGCCGCGTAACATTGTGGAGGTGGGGTCCCTCGATTGTTTCAAGCACGGGTTGGACAAGTATATGAGTGGGATTGGGTGGTTATTTATATTAGCAAATAATAATATCCAGCGCGTACCCATAATCCGGCTGCTGGAAATAGTACATCGCATTTTGACCTACAAATCGCATAAGGCCAAAAACAAATGTACTAAAAATCACATCGTCTCGCAAACTTAACATGATGACCCGTTTTCTATTAGTGAGTCCTCGTGTAGGTTAGGTCCGGGCAATTCAGTACATCATTTAGCGACCTTATGAACGCTCGAAAGGGCGCAAGTTAGTCTTGATGAGTTAGTTACAAAATTCAATGCACATGGTCACGTCAACAATGGGCTCGAGACTGACCACAAGCAAAGAAAAGGGAGAACAGCAAACATGACAGTAATACCATGTCGTAACTCAGTCGATTAAGGCAGTGTCTGGGATGCTCTCGGACGCAGGTTCGAATCCTCGTCACGGCCCTTGTGGATTTGCTCATGACGGTAATACAACTGGGGCGTAACCCGAGGTCTCCCACAGGGGGAGGAACCCATATCACTTGTCGACACGCGAGAGCCTCGATCCTCACAGTTCCCCGCTTCACTAATTATTATCATAATTTGCTTGCATCATCTAGACGCGCGTGCCATTTACAGCGCATCACTGGGGAGGTCAGCCTAGGTGCTAGTAAACAGAGAAATGATTATTACCATAGGACGTCTGGAAATGACGAGTTAATTAAGATTAAAAGAAAGGAATGGAGAGCAGGGTGGAGGGTGCTGTGACACCGGGCCGTTCAGTGCCCCAGACGGACAGTACAGTACTCGACTGGAGCTTGTTTCACACACACATCAACCCTCCCATACCCCATAACTATGGCCATTAACAACGTAAGTAGTACAAGCCAAACACTTGACTATAATTTATAAACCGGAAAACTAAACAAATGTCCACATCCAGGCTACTGATATTTGATTAAGATCTAAATTAAACCTATAAACGTCGTCACCCTTAAACCAACAAGAAGTACATTTTTCAATACTCCGATATGCAGGTAGCGGTTCCATGGTCTCTCCTGCTGGTGCTCCTGCTGGTGCTGGAGTTATGTGTGCTCGTGACGCCCAAGGAAGAGGTGCCTGACACTCCCCCAGCCGTCCCCAAGGAGGCCTTGAACGCTATGGTTATGAGACACCTGAAGCAGTTTCACCAGGTGGGGGAGGATCAGGTAAGTGCGGAGACTCCACTGTTCATACTAATTGGTTGTATAATATGTAGACAATAATGTGGCTGAAGACGTGACCAACCCACACATTAGAAAATGGAGAAACCACGATGTTTCGGTCCGTCCTGGATCATTATTAAGTCGTGTGAATAAAGATTAAGTCATCCAAGAGGTGGCACTGGCATGAATAGACCGTAAAGAAGAGAGGAAAGTGCAGGCAAATACACAAGGTAAGAGTGAGAGATAAGAAGCAGGTAAGAGAAAATGGCAAGACTAAGACGAAAGGTAAGAATGGGATTCAGGTTCATGTGAGTTTGAGATAATAAGATACATCTCAAAAGGATAAAGTAGCTTAGGCTATTTCTACCCTCAATGAATGGAATGAGGTAAGAATAAGAGAGAGGTAAGAAAAGGGGTAAACTTAAAAGTCAGATCACGTTTGTTCACCTTCTTAACAACCTTAACAAATGTGATCTACCCCCTTTTCTTTTTCTTACCTTCCTCTTATTCTTACCTCTCATCTTCTCTTCTCTTACCTTATTTATTTGCCTGTACTGTACCTTCTTCTTCTCTTCTATCACACGACTTGATATTGAACCAGGACTGACTGAATCGTCGTTGTTTCTCCATTTTCTGATGTGTGGTTTGGGCATCAATAATAATAATAATAATAAAATCAAGAGTAAACTACTTTATTTTAGATTCTACATGGTTTAGTTGTAGATACTGTAGTGAGTTTGCGAATTATTAAAATTGTAAAATGTATAATATTTTAAGAGCTAAAAGTAATGACACATTACTGTACTGGTATATTTATCTTGGAGATATATGCTAATTGATGTGGAAGTTAAATAGGCTGGATAATATTTAGATTTTTTCTTTTTTAATTCATATACTGTACTGTATTTTGGTCATTTACTGTACATTTGGGAGGTTATTCCACAGTTCAGGACCCCTTAATTTATTTTCCTGGCATTTCTGCTTTGGTCAAGTTTGACTTATGGAACATCAAATATAAGTACCTGTATAGTAAATGCTTATTTCTAGTATAGTGTCTTAGTTGTTGGAGCTTACTAAGGAGCATTTGAAGTCAGATATTGTACTTCAGAGTTTTGAAAATACTGTGTGGAGTATACTTGAGAATGGGTTGTGCTTTTATATTTAGCACGTTCAAGGATATAAATAAAGAAGCTGCATGCTGTTTGGAATTGGAGTTTGTTATTGTTCTAATAGCTGATTTGTGTTGAACAATAATGTCTAAGGTAGTGTTGAGTTGTAGAATGCCATGCAGGCACAGATACTGTGAGATAAGGATAAATTGAATATTGTCACTAGGGATAGTATGCCTACAGTTTTTAATAATAATATATAGTATATATATATATATATATATATATATATATATATATATATATATATATATATATATATATATATATATATATATATATATATATAATGTTATGAGCTCATGATGATCCAAGGTTCATCAAAGTAGTCAGCCAATGGGATACTGTTGCATATTAGTAATGGTAATGTCTTCTCGTGGACATAATAACACAGGATAAAAACCCACACTTGTGTACAGTATTTGTGAAATTTGACCACCAGCCCAAAAAGTTCAAACAGGTTCACTGGGATAATTCCATAATGGAAAAGATTGCCTGAAAAATGCTTGAAAATACATCTGGGGGAAAACAAAGTATGTCTCCTAATTATAAAAGCAACAAATATTGTACAAGGTACTTTTTATTTGCCATCCCTGGGAACTTTTCTTAATCTCAATGCTCTTTGTATTGGTGTAGCCATTTTCTTTGCTTATCATCACCAAATGCAGGTGCATCTGCAGAAGAGCATTGCAGACCAATATGACCATCATGGTCTTATATGTTGTAAATCACAGAGCAAGATTGTGAGATATGGAGAAGTCGGTGACATCATCAATATAAGCCTTGCCAAGGCCCGCTGCCCGGCACGAAGAGAACCCACACCTATACAGACCCTATGACACTTGGAAGTGTCCATAAGGAATCACCATGCTTGCTTGAAAGGGTAGCAAATGATAACAAGATAACACATGCACCTCCACTTTGGCTAGTACAGTAGTGCAGTACCTGCATCTTATTACACAGTACACAGTGCAATTGAAGGGAGTGGTGCTGCTGCTTTCAGGAAAATAGAGAAAGCCACCAAATATAGAGACCTGGCACATTGGTACAGTTTTGTTCCAGTTGGCATGAAAACCCTTGATTCATTGAGTAAATGTGCACTGAAGTTCCTGAAAGAACTGGGCAACAAACAAAGTAGTGTTAAAAAAACCATAGTGACAAAGTTTCTTCTTCCAATACCTTAGTGTTGTGGTTCGGAGGGGAAATGCTTTCTGCATCTTGGGCATGCGTCCAGTCCATGAGTAGTTCAAGGTGTGTTTGATTTGCAATAGGTGTCAAGTTAGTTTGTAATATCCATTAATTAATCCTTGTGGTTTGTCTTATTTTACTTGTAATATAACAATGTTTATATGTTAGTGCTATGTAATTTGTAACAGTGTACCCTTGGAGATATGTATACATACATACATACATACATATTACACACAATAATTTGGCTGGTTATAGTCTGGTTTAGTATATGAGAAAATGAAGGTTGTCATCAGTTAACGGTATTAGTTTTGGATGGCATTTGGTAGATCATTGATGTTTATGAGAAAGAGGAATTGGCCAAATTGCTACTCTATATGGTACTTCAGTTTTAATTGGTATTGTGGGAGAATATGTTGTTTATGCAAACATGTTAGTTACTCAAACAAAAGCCTACATGGTTTTTCATTCATAGTTATGTAGTCTAAGGAAAATGTCAACAAATAGTCAAATAGGATAGTAATTTTTGACGAGCCAAGTGTATCTCGTGCTAAGCATATTTATTACAGTATAACATTGTTGCTGCTAATGCAATGGTTTTTTTAATCTCTCTGTTCCTTGAAATTTTGGCTTTTAAAACTATGATTATATAACTGGACTGTGTTCACTCTAGTCCTTTTGTCAAGTGACATTGCATTCAGCTCCCTTAGTGTGCCCTCATAGCTTAGTCTCCCTACCTGGACTAATCTTGTATAAAACCTTTGTACTTTTTCTTTTATTCTCCTATGAAATGGGGGGGGGCCTACATGCTAGTGCTGCATACTCTAGTACTGGCTGGATGGATGTAAGCAACATTTGGAAAGCATCATTGTCTGTTTCTATATCTGTCTTGATATTTGCTAATGTGACTGTCTCAGATGACAGGTCCAGTGTCATATTTACTACTGTACTAGGTTCTGCCATTGTTGACACTGGTAGGATCCTCTTTCATTATGTAGTGTCCATCCTCTCTCAAACATGAGCACTGAATTGCAAACAGTCCATGCACTTGACCTCTGGCTAGAATTCTAATGTTTATTAATTTATTCATTCCTTTCACTTGTTCCCATTTTCATGACCTTGAATTAGGAATGATGAGACTGCTTCTGTCATCCTTCTATTGTGATTTCTCAACTATTCTTGTATTTTCCTTTTCAACTATTTGACTATTTCTTTGTCTCCTTGAGTTCCCACCCACCTTGATACTCTTTAACAATCAGGATTAACTATAATATTGTACAGTATATAAAATTAGGCAAGCTGGTTGACATAAAGCTGGTTTGGATTCATAGTCTTAACAAAAATAAAGATTCGAGTTTCAGAAGCACTGAAGAAATGCTTGTTTATTATAGTATATAGTATAGCATATAGGCATATATATATAGTATGTGCCTGTTAGTATATACACACACATCCATGTGGATGATGGACCCACAAACACAATACCTGGATAGTATTATCTTACACTGTACTGTATATGGTTCTCTAAAATTCTAAATTTGCTGCATCATACCTTGACATCTTGTAAGCTAATTGAGCATATATTGCCTTGGTGGTGAATGGAGGACGAAATGTTAACCGTTTTAGGATTGATATGATTTTCCGTTCCCTAGGAAGGTCTGGCCCAAAATAGTGTTAATTACCTTGCAAGACTGTAAAAGTTAATTACCAAAATCTGTATTGATACAACCTATTGTACCTTAAATATACAATATACCTTTATATATAAATAAATGAGATCTCGGTGCCACAGTACACTTTTATCATGTGATCACAGGATGTAATGTGGAAAAAGGAGTTATGGCCTCCTACACCAAATGAGGACTATGAAAACCTTTTGTCTGATGGCGAAGACACCTTCAACCCCATGGTCCTTGCTCTACGCCATCTGGCTGGACACAACATGGAGAGTCTTGTTGCGGGCACAGTCTGGGACACACACTCTGATGGGGATGACGGTGCTGATGATGGTGATGACACCAACAGCAGAAGCTCCAGGGCACCCTCCTCCATCTTCCACCCCTCTGCTCTGTTGAACCCTATGCACAGAGACCAAGAAGAATGATAATACAGGCAGATAGATACCTCAACTACATCCCCTCTCCTTCTCATTAGCCTCTTGTACATGGAAATTATTGCTATGTGTACTGTATTGTGATCTAAAGAGTTGCTGGCATAAAAACCATTATGGCAAGTGTTTATTATTCCATACCATAAATATACTCTTCTATGAGCAAAGGATATTTTCTTTGACCACCCAGCAGCTCCCTAAAGCTAGCTCACTAAGATTGCTCCATGGAAATGGGTCACATTAAATGCGAGAGTTCTGTTTAGTCTACCAGGGACCAGAGCCCAAACCTGGCTCTCACCTCCCTCACAGAGGTACAGAGAGCAAGTGACAATTCGCCACTGCACCGGGAAACCATCCAGAAAAGTCAATAAAGCTTTACAGACAACTGGAGGGTTATCAAAGACCAGATCTTTGAAAAAGCCAAACAACTCTACAATCAATTCACTCGGAACAAGAGAAACATTACAAATTTGTGCAAAATTCATAGTACCAAATGCCACTACCATGCAGCCCAGTTTCTGTATGCAGCTGTCTTCCTTACCAGTTCTTTTGCTGATTTCCTGCTGGAGACTACTGTTCTGGGTCTTTCAGACATGGCAAGTGCCCCTGCTTCAAGCTAAGCACCAGCCATCCTTGGACTTGGGTTTGAAGTGGGTTTCTGACCCCACTTGGAAACAGTCTGATAGGGCAGGTTCTTTCCTGCTGTTGAGGTGTAGGTCCTTAGGAGAGTCAGATTCCCAGGCCATTTGTTTCCTATTGCGAATTTCTTTTCTGCTAGATATCACAACTACACCTCATGGAAGGGCGGTTCTGCTTGTGATACAACCGACCCTTTCATGGTTTCAACCTTTGATGCCACCATAGGGAAGCATCTGACTCATTTTACCAGCTCCTGGAACCACAATTCGTGGGTCTTTCAGGTCATTTCCAGTGGCCTGCAGTGGAGTTGGTCGGTCTTCTCCCACTTTCTTGGGGTGAGGACTTTCAGGGCAGGTATCCTTCCCAGCTCTGCATCTGGTCATTGCAGGTTGGTTGGCCTCAGGTGTGGTCGAGTGTACTGGTGTTTTCAGTCCTGAACAGGGACTCGGTGGACCTACATTACATCCTTCTTTTGAGTTTTAATGCCTTCGTTCCATGTCCAACCTTCCACGTGACCACCTCAAGTGAACCTGATTTTACAGGCTGCAGCTTGGATGGTGTCCCAGGACCTCAAGGATGTATATTGGCACATCCCTACTCACTCTAGGAGCTAATCAGGAACTGATTAGCTTTTGTAGTGGAGCATCAGGTTTACTGCTTCATGGTCCTTTGGGTGTGAATCTGATTTTTCGTGTCTTTACCAGGTTGGCGCAGGTGATTGTGACCCAGCTTCTTGGTGGCCAGCCTAGCCTTCCAGCACTTCTAGACCAGTATCCAAACTCAGGCACTATTTTGCAGGTTTGGATACTGGATCATCACTACTAATGATCCACCTCTTTCAGCAGATCGGCCCAACGATGTACTTTGCAGGTTCGACCTCTTCTGCCCTACGCATCTGGAGTGTGTTTTCCTCATGGCATCAGTATGAGATTGCCTGGTGTTTGTTTCACCACTGTTTTAAATTTCAGGCAAAGCTGTCCTGTTCCTTTTGTCGTGGTTATTTCTAGATAGACATCTTGTGCCTAATACTACTGCCTCTTATCACTCGGAATTGGAGCTGCTGTGGCTTGTGATTGGCACTGACTCCTCTTTGGCCATGTTCTGTAAGTTGTCTCATGCCTTTTCACTTCTGACCAGTTCATGCTCCTCTTGCGCCATTCTGGTCTCTTGATTTGGTATTGGGCTTCCTCTTCCAGTCTTCTTTAATGTTTCCCCCTTCAACTCCTAATACCTTTCTCTAAACTGTGATTTTGTTGGCTCTTGCTTCTGGCTGTAGGGTTGGGGAGTTTCAGGCTTTTCTCTTGAGGCATGAATTTTGTTCTTTTAGTCCTGGTGGGCAATTTGCAGCCTTCTCCTTCTTTTCTGGTTAAGAATGAGTCTGCTAGCTTTCAGAGGGGGTCCGATTAGTGATTGACGTTTGGTTAGTCCAGTCAGGGGTGCATCACTTGTCTGGTGACAGCTCTTCACCACTATCTGTGGGTCATCATTTCTACCTTGGTGGATGCCTTTTTGGTTGATCCTGTTTCCTTGGTCCCCAGTTCTAAGGCTTTTATTTCCCAGGTCATCCTCAGTCATAAAATCTAGCCAGCCTGTGATCAACCCTAGGACCCATGATAATCACAAGTACACGGCATTGACCACAGTTTTCTCCAACATGTCTTGGGCTGATATTCAGGCTTGGCAGTTCTGGCAGGCCAGTATTTGTCCAATGTTCCTGATCCCAATTAGTCATGTGTTTCCTTGGATTATGCTTCCCAGCCTATATTCTCTTTGTCCTAGTGCATGCCACCTCTCCTCCATGATAAATCCCATTTTGTTCTCTGGTTAGCTTCAGGGAACCACTGGGGGCTCCTCCAGAAACCCAGCAATGAATGTAATGAAATGCCTCTTTCTGGATAAGCCCCAGTGGCTCCCTGACTATCTCTCCCTACTTGGTTAGTCGATATGCCATTCATTAGCTCCAGAACTGGCAAGGAAGAGACTGTGTGTGAAAGCCGGGTTGCCTGGTGGTGAGATTCGGTATTATGAGTTTTGTGTTAATTTTGAATGTTTCTCTTGTTCTGTGCAAATTGTTTGTGAAGTTGTTTGGCACTTTAGAGGATTTAGTCATTGTTAACTCTCCAATTCTCTGTAACACTTCACTTTCTAGATGCTTTCCCGATGTGGTAATGAATTGTCACTTTCTCTCTCTGTGAGATGGGGTCAGGTTTTGGCTCTGGTTTCCTGGTAGATCAAATACATTTCCAGCATCTGATGTCACCCTTTTGCATGGAGAAATCTCGGAGAAATAGTTTCAGGGAGAAAGAAAGTTTATCTTTCTTTCAGTTTATCTTTCTACAGTTTATCAAGAAGAAACATTTTATTACAATCAACACTGTGATTTTTGTCTTTTAGCTGGAAATATGCATGTAATGCACATTTTAGATGGGAATATTGTCTTTAGCATATTAGTAAACTTTAGCAGAGTCCATTAGCAAAGTGGTCTCGGATGGGAATCTGAGGTGGGACAGAGATTTGGGTATGTTTCCTTTCACCTGATGTCTCTTCTCACCTTGCAGTAAATAGATGCTTAGGAGTTAGGAAATTGTTGTGGGTTGCATCCTAGGAAAGGGTCATCAGTAGACAACTCGTCCTCGGTCTGTGTTCATTCCATCCAGTGGTCGACCCCAAAGACGCATTTATATATTTTAACATGCTGTTCATTCAAAATAGGAATTTTCTCAAATATAAATTAATATTATATATTAGCATATTGTGTATATTTAGACATTGGTTAGGTGTTTAGTGTTGACAATTTGTATTTGTAATACGTGGGCGAAGCTTTGTAGTTCAAACAAAAGTTGTCAGTAATGCACTGGTCGAATGAAAACGTAAGGTGAAGTCATATGTTTGATTATATTTTAGTCAGTCATCTTTATGCCTAATGCTTTTTTTCACTGGCCTGCAATTTATAATCAGAAAATCACATTTTTCTGTCTTGTCGAGAGAAAACACTTGCCATTAAGCTTCATTCCTTTTATTACCTGAATTAATTTCCTAATTATTTTTAGCAACCTAATATAAAAATGTAGATGGTGAATAAGGCATTAAGGTTTTCGTATACACTCCAACACTATATATTCCAATGAGAGTTGCCATGTTTCTCAAGATACCTTATTTAAATTATATAAATTGTCTTATACTGTACAGTATTACAAATAACAAATTTGTTAATTTTATTAATAACTATTTTAAATTTTGTATTAATGTGTCACTTATGATACAGTATTCTGCATATATAATTGTTATTTATTTAAAACTTAAATATCATTTTAATAAATTTAGTTATACAATTTATAAATAAAGTAATGTTAACATTACAAGTACTGTAATTAAAATATTATTTATGGCTTCAGTAAGAACTTCATGAAAATGGAGCACAGTATAAGTTATAAGTTTGGAAGAGGTGAGTATACCAGTGCAAAGGCTGTGAGGAAAAGCTGCAGGTGTTGGCGAGGTATATGCAGGATTACAGTACTGAATATTGCACAGAAAATGGACCGAGTTGATATGGAGAAAGTGCTAGAGGGCACTGGAGGGGGTATTTGGGGGGGGGGGGGGTAGCAATATCCTTTATTGCAAGGAATATAGGATAATTTGCTTCATGCAATAGCACTGTCATATGCCAACTCTAATTACTGTACACATTACAATGTATCACAATCATCTTACCAGGATTCGAACCTGCATGGCCAGGGCTCACTCAAGACATACACAGTATTTTGTTGAGGGCAGCAACACTGCCCTCAACAGTATTTTTAGGCAGTCGCTGGTGAAGTGGTTTCTGTACTGTGTATATGGCAGGGGTGGGGGTGCCTCTCTGGCTATGCAGGTTTGACTCCTGGTCAGATCATAGTGCTTAGTGATTTATGGCTTGGGGACCATTCAAGCTCTTTCACATTATGAAGTATAATTAATGTATACAATTATTATATTCGGGGAAACAAACATAACACAGAATTCAAATATTTTATTGATATAAAAATAACACTTGCAGCAAAGCAGTATTTAGTAAGTATTTTGAAACAAATTACTGTATAATAAATTTTGATTTATGATATATTCAACAATGAGGTAGTGAGATAATGACCTGTCACCGTCACTACCGGTGATAATTGTGACCTTAACAATGGCTCTATAGCTCTTCAAACTAAATAACTCAGTTTTCTTTTTAAGATAAAGAAGTCTTTGCCTACATATCTATACACATTCATTGCTAACAAGATGTGTCAAGGATTACCCCAAGATCAGACACTTGCTAACTCTTAAAAAAAAAAACTTTTTTATGGTGTAGTTGCCAGTTAAATGACTATGCAAGTAGAAGTCCCACATTCAGGCCAGTTTTGAACCAGGAGTACAACTATACACAATTTCTCATCAAGGTATCTTAAATATTAGTGAATACTTATTATGTACAGTAACTGATATTTATAGACACAGACATGTGTTTGTAATATTCTGAACAAACTGTGTAATAATTTCAGGAATATTTTAAAATGATGTACTATACCAGTAATATAAGCCATAAAAATATTTGTTCATATTCAGTATTCACTTAATCTAATACCATTCCGTCGGTTAAGCCAGATTTGAAAGAGCGAGAGTAGAATGGAGGTGGATGTAGAAAGAGCAAAGATAGTGGTGGGGGATGGAGGGTTAGGGTGAGGTATTGGGGGGTGGAGGGTGAGGGTAAGAATGGAAGGGAGGAAGGAAGGCGAGGACAGAGAGGATGAAGGGGAGTTCCAAGTAATCATCGAACAAAGGCATCAAGCCAGGGAGACTAGCATAGCACCAGGAGTGTCGCTGGATATTCAAAAGGCATTATATTTCCATCCTCAGTAATATTTGTGAACAAACACTAATAATCTGAGCAATATCAAGGTATCAGATTGATCAAGGATTTTGTAAAGACAAATGACCTTGAGGGACCATTAGGAAAGCAAGACGTGCAATTGTCCTGAAAATCGGAACAGTCCACAAGGAGGTGCACAACTGTAAGTGGGACATAATGGGTTTGACAATAAGGAGCAGGGCAGTGTAGGATGGATGGAAGGAGAGGGTAGTAAGGTGTGCATTGGGGGAAAGATGGAGGGAGCTACAGCTTCCCCAACAAGTTTTTAATATTAGCAACATGAATGAGGAGGAAATTGAGAAACACCTAATCACACTTAGATAAAGATACAATATATTGTTGAATATAAATAATTATGAAATGACCTTGGCATCAACTGATTGAATATCTTTAACAACTACTGCATAAAACTGCTCAAGTTCAACATTTTTCACAAAATCAGCCTCTTATAAAATGCTGAGCAATGTTAAGCTAAATATGGTATTAAATTGGCAAACATGTGACGAGATTCTAAGATACACTCATAGGGAGAACACAGGTTCAGTATTCACTTTTCACTTTATTGAAAAGGATAAATTTTCCTTTTCATTTATGCAAGCTGAAACTTATAGTAAAGTTCTCTATATCTGTAAAGACTGGACACACGAAGATTACCTGGACACCCAGGTAATCAACTGGTTCCTTTCATTCTCTCGCATGAAACAATCCTCCTTTTCTTAGCCACCTATGAGTAAATAGGTACCCAGGAGTTATACAGCTGTGGGAGTGTGTTGTATTATGAACACAGTCGGTAGTTAGACTTGTTGAGGTTCACTAACCTAATGGGCTTCCTGTCCCTGATGTGAAACCCACGATACATCCGTTATCAGTTCTCTATGCCTGGTTCTAAATATGCACATATTCACTAACCTCTCACTACATTACTACTGCCATATAAATACATTCTTAACAATCAATCGTCTCACAATCATAAGTTTCACATTAACATGTAAAACTTGTACTGTGATTATAGTTGTCCAAACTTTTCACTGAAAATTAGTGTTTTAGAAAATTAGGCTAGTGAACTACTGTATTAAACATCTATCCATCACACTAAAGTTATGAACTAATAAATTATTTAGATATATATATATATATATTATCTCTAATATAATTTTTCTAAATTAACTAATGAATAGCATTTAAAACCTAAAAAAACACGTACTCTGTCAATGTAAGACGAGAATTTCTTAACTGACGAGTAAAGCAACCTGAAAGAGATTCCATAATATAGGGCTTACCTAATGTTTACATTACTCCAAACATGACTGAAGATAAAAGGCAACATTTGGTATCCAACTGGCCTGAGAGAATCTGCCCTCCACTATAACAAAATTACTAAACTCTTAATCAAATTTAAAACTATTGAGAACTTAAATTTAGGTTTTTACAAAGAATAGAATATAACAACATTATGACCGCGTGCAACTCTTAAGTGTAACGCCCCATTAGAAAACTAATGGTGTTTATACGTACTGTATACAGTATCTTTAACTGTACCTGAAATGTTGTAGCAGGATTGGAGATACAGCAAGTAAAGCAACACTTGTTGAGAGATTGGACAATGTCATCTTAGCAGGCATCAATGTCTGTAAAATTTTATTTATATATATATAAAATACTGTACATACATACTGTACTGCATATATATATAACCATTAATGATCGTGTAGATACTATCACAGACTAAGCAACACATGCATCTAGCAATTTTCTGGCTGTATATTTGGGAATCGGTTGGATTTTTACCACAAGCCATCAAGTAGACACACATGGTATATTATAGAAATTAGCGTACACCAAATTACCAGTTGGGCACCCAACTTTAGTAAGTGACAATACCATGTTCAAGCCTGGCCTCAGGCTGGGCTTGGGGAGAAGAACAACTCCCAGAACCCCATCAAGCAGGTATTGAAGAATTCTGCTCACTGCTCTTCTTTAAGCAAAAGTTAATTATCTTGTGTCTTCTTTGTATACTGTACCACAGAACAAAAAATGTCAAGGAATAGTGTACTGTAACTGAACAATTTCATACAAGTACTGTACTTCATAACACATGGATTCACCCCACAGAAGTTAATTACTATATTTAATTTTTCGGCTTAAAAGGGAAAGTTTTATAGCCGTGATCGTGTGTTCTGAGTGTAGTGTGTTATCATAATGCTGCTGTAAACCTCATAATTTGTTGCATCTGTTTTATTAGATATCAATAATTTTTAATACTAATTTTTATCAGAAAACTTATGTTGTTTAATGTGACTTTACATTAATTCTTGTTAAATATAACACTGCATAATTAAATTAAACTTTCATGACGATATTTTTTCATTAATTAAAATTGAGCATTTTATACACAGTATAATCTGAACTCTTAAAAAATCTGCAAATCTAAGGCAAACCGACATCTAAACCTAACTGCTAAATTTGTTCTAGGCTTTCACAGCACTATCACAGGATTATAAAATGGATGGTGGTAGCACATGAAGCACCATGGGGCGACACCTCTTTCTATTCCTCTTCCTCGCTGGAGCCTGAGGATGACGAAGAGCCTCCATGGAAACCGTGCATACCCTTTGACACCATGTAGCCACCGGCCCCAAGAGCTCCAAGGCCAGCCAACGGAACACCGTACTTCATTGCCTTGCCACCCATCATGCCTTTTTTCTGTTACGACAAGATGAATATTGTTACAAACCCAATTTTTCAAACTTAATCAGAATTGTGTAAATGTGCTCATTAATCATATACCACAGGGTGTTGAGTACAATCTGTTTAGCGTATTTACGAACAAACAAAAACAATACTCACCGAGTGTCCCAACATGGATGCTCCTCCCAGGACACCCCCCATCCCCAAGGCCTTGTTCAGAAGTCCCCCAGAACCACCATGAGAACCTTGCCCCGGGTAGCCTCCTTGCCCAGGGTATCCTTGACCTGGGTAGCCTCCTTGACCAGGGTATCCTTGCCCTGGGTATCCTCCTTGCCCGGGGTATCCACCACTTGATTTGGATTTCTGAAATTTTAAATTTACTTTATATCCCTATACAAGGTATTTTATTTTGACATGTTTGGTATCTTAGTAGTCAAAGATTATGTTAAATACAGTTCTATTAACAAATTTTGCTTGGGATGTAATTTCTTAGATGAATTCCTCCCTTATTATATTGAATATACAGTAGGAGTTTTGTTGTACTGGAATAACTCTACTAACCCTTTGCTATACAGTAGCATCTTGAAAACTATATAATACAGAATTTTTTTGTATTATTGTTTAGCATAAAATTTAGTGTATTGTAAATGAAAAGTGAATTTCTAATTAGACACCTGGTTGCTCCTTAAGGTAAGATTCCATTGTAAGTGGGAAACCAAATTGTGCAGTGAGGCATGACGACATTCGAGATACTGTACCAGGGCTACCGGGAACTTTTCAAATGACCACACAGGGTCAAAAATGATAGGGAAAACCTAAAGAAAATCATCCACCTCACACAAGCTATAGAACGCTCAAATCATAAACGTTAAAAAGTAATTTACAAGCCCTCCTTGGCAGCCCAAAGACTCGAGAAATATATTGGTTTTAAATTACTGGTTGGTCTGTCCACCCTCTACTTATCCTGCCACAAGATTGCAGCACCTTCACCACAACAAGGTAAATCTCTCAAAACTCTTAAACTGATGCTGAAGAAAGAAACCCTGTATACAGGTTGGACTAGAAAATACCAGGCAGAAGCATGTCTGCACAAACATGCACTTTTAATATACAGTACTGTACTGTACTATGCATTCAAGTCTATTTTCAAAGCTATCATAGTTGCTTGCCAAACTCCAAAAGGTGGACATTAGTTCCTCAAACAGAATTGATGGTCCTGATCCCAGTGCTTGGCTGAAAATCGACCAATGGTCTTGGTCACAATCCTTTCAGCAGGAGGGAAGTATGACTCGGACCTCAATCCTTCTATTATATAAATGGGAAATATTTAATTGAAATTAAGTGTGGAAATGAAGACACTAGAAATCATTAATATTTAATTTTAGGAAATTAAAGTTAAATTAATACACAATTTATATAATAAAACTAGGAAAAATATAAGTTAATGCTTCAGTTTCCTTTCAGGAAGACTTGCATTTGAAAATGGCTGTCCCCGAGCCCTGATCTCTTCGGCTTAAGGATGTTTCTCTCCCAAGAAGAGCCTCTCCTTTATCTCTTATAACATGGAGTCCTCTTCCAGTTTTCAAAATTATAAAAAGAAAAAAAGGCCTGAGGAATGTCAGTCTAGTAGGTAGATGGTCAGGTCATATTACTGTAATTAGCCAACTGATCTCTAAACGTTTAAACTCCCCCCTCCCCCCTCCATCAGATCTGCTCAATTTTACAATATGTTATACTTTTTCCTTTACTTTTTTAATGATGTTAAGGTGTATCCACTTAATAACATCAGTAGGAGGCACATGCCCTTGACAGTGGTGAGTTAATGTAGACTAGACGCTCCACTTGAGAAACATGCATGTCAAGTCAAGGATGCAGAATCTGAGAATAAGTAAACAAATTTGTTTCGCTTTGCATCTTTTCACAGTATTAAATTTAGTACAATGAGACAACTCATGATGCAGACAGTGGCTCCCAATACCCATATTGCAGCCAACAGTATGAAGCACACTGAAACACCTAAAATAAACTTTAAAAAGACAGACAAGACAATGCAAAACATTGTATAAGGTTCTGTAGTCAAGCACACTACATCTGTTCCCTAAACAATTAGTGCTAACTACAGGGAAAATACCCAACAAAGTCGGTGCCAAGATGCACCATATCTCACTATAAAAAAATGGTGAGAATTATTATAAGTGTAGGGAACCATACAACACTCATCGTTCTGCAAGGTAATTTAAGACGACACAGAATATATACAGACTAATTTCTCATAAAGACATATACAGACAGGAAATAAGAACAGATCAAACATGTGATATAAAAATCAATCTGCACCCAACAAAAGAATGAGTTCTGAATCTGCAAAAGCTCCAGCACCTTTTCATGAGCACTACACACCAAATTCATGTGAAGGAGGAGCTGCAAGATTTACATTTAAATAAATACTGAACAAAAACACATATTTAGCAATAGATAAATCTGTTTAATCAAACTATAATAATCTGAATTTTATTAGGTTTGAATAGGTGCATCTAGCCTCTCAAAAAACTAACATATTAATTCTAAACAAAAATTAGGAGAAATCTGGTTGGCCTGCAGTAAGGCCTCAAGCTCAACTCGAGTACCACCTCACACTACCCAAAGACCCCAGGCCTCTTGAGACCCATCCACCATCTACCTGGAGCCAGGACCAGAAGTTGTCTCACTCTACAAGGTGAGGGAAGCAGGAAATCAGAGATCATCCCAAAACTGGGAAAAACCCACCAAAGAGCATTGGCACAATAGAGTTGTTCATTGCCCTCGACACAACTTTCATGCTGTTAGGCTCGGCTACCTCACGGGAGAATGTCTTTTCTATGTTTCAGGAAAGTCAACCTCCTCTATCGAGGTGATGTGTTGAGTAAACTCTGGGAATTATTAAAGGGCACTAATGAAATGCCCTTTCCAGGTGGGTCTGTGGTTGCTCCCCATCCCCACCCTGTGGAATTTACGAGTAACTGTACCGGGCAGGCTGGCCTAGATATTGGATGCCTTGTATTGCCATTTGGTGATGATCATACGGATCAGTCATGACAATGATTACTGGCCTCTTTTACCTAGGAGTGTTTATTTTCTTTCAAGCTGTCATTTGTTTTGTTGCATTATACTTTCTGGGGGTGTTTCCCCAGATTTGCAGCTGATCTCTGATTCCCTGCTCACTTTGCCTCACAGTGAGAACCAGATTCTGGTTCTGGCTCCCGGTAAACGACAGATGGGTCTTGGAGCCCTGGTGTGGTAGTCCCAAGGCTTGATGGTATCAGAGCTAAGCATGGAGCTACTGAGGGGTCCCACCAAAAATTTTGCATTATGATATCCATATTAACGTGCACACAAATTTTGCATAAAAATATAGGATATGATTTGCTTATAAAACATGAAGAGATTCGGCAATGAAAGATTAAAACTTTAGCTTTTGACTGAACCCTATTATTAATAATAGCAAACGAACAGGATAAAGTCTAGTAAAGATGAACAAATGGTATTTAAACTTACCCCCATGAGATGAGATACACCCAAGGCCCCAGCAACAGCTGTCCCTGCTCCAGCTACCATTCCCAGCAGCCCTTTGCCACCACTGTTGCTGTGTGCGGCCGGTGCTGGTTGCTGAGGAATATAAGCACAAATATTAATACCCAAATTTAATACAAATAATTCCACAAACACAATGAAGGCTGTACATTTACAAAATTAAAATGTTCCCTTTTACCTCTTTAGAGGGGGGCCAGGTTTTGGTCTTTGGACCCCAGTAGGCATAGAGATTTGTGTGGGCCTGGCATGGACTGAATTTAATGGAGCTTGCTGGGTAGAAGCCAACATAGGAGCCCTCTAAAAAATAAAGGTATTTGTTTTTTAAGCCCCACTTTGACCCAAGATTTGGAATAAAGCCAAGACCAAGATGCTGAAGCAAAAGTTAAGTCGTAAAGTAGTAAAATTTCAAGAATCTTACACAGTATATTAGAATACAGTATAGTATATACATTATTTAAATTTTGTGCAATAACATTCCTGGTCTTGGAATGCATATTTTCTTGCAAAATTCTGAACAAAACCCTGAATGATGCAAACTTATGAAAGGTGTAGGAAATATATACAGTACTTGCATAGATTTGGAAGGCAAAAATATTATCTTTTGCATTAAACTTCAAACGTAAATCTCTCTCTTCCAAGCCAGGACTGTGCTTACTCGGAAACTGAATTAACTGTGGAAACCATTGTCATGTGAGGGGTCTGAATATACATTTTTATTGTGCAAGTCACATAGCATTCCAAGTTTCTGTAAGTTGATGCAGTATTCTTTACTTCTAAATTTAGGATAGTACCAATAATATGTACTTTTTTACAGTTTAAGAGTAAATGGATTATGTGCGTGTAAAATTATTTCACCATTAAACAAATAAATAGATATATATATATATTAAGATATATATATATATACACACCTGTATGTAGTGTACTGTACAGTAAAGCATTTTCTAAAGGGAAAATATAATATGACTCACTCCATACTGTTGAGGTGCAGCTTGCTGGTATGCTGGGCTAGAGTAAACTGGTGCATATCCTGGACCCCCAGAGTACGGCGGTGGGGCACCATAGTTATTTTGTGGTGGGTATGGCACCCCTCCCATGGGTGACCCTTGTGCATATGGAGGAGCTTGGCTAGAAGCAACAGGATCCTCAATCCAAATGCATGCCAGGTTCATATCTTGACTAGTGCTGGCAACATTTATGTACGTCATGGTGGCTGGGTTGGTGCGATGTGCGAATTCAGCAAAATGCTGGCCATTCAAAGCAATCTAGAATACAGGGTGCAAAATTTAGTTAAATATGTAATGAATATTCATGAATTTGTCATGTGTAGTATAACTAGTACAGTACAGTGAAGTGCCACTAATTCAGATCTTACGAGAATGGATTTCAGAGGCAACAGGAAAAAACATCTAGTTGTTCATTGTTGTTAAAGATGAGTATTTGCACACTGCAGATCATATTGTACGTATATGCTTTAATGCCTTCCCCGTGATACTGAGTTAGGGACCCATTCTTTTACTCTACTAAAGACAAAGCCACCCCCTAGAAAGTGGCAATTGAACAATTATGCTGATGCTGAAATAAAAGAAAGAATTAAAGAACCAGGAAAACTTTGCAAATAAATATTTAGCCATTTTCAATAGACCACGTACAGTACTCTAAATTGTCCAATACAGCACTAATTATGAACAGATACATCAGATAAGAATTACTAAATATCTTCAGGTACCTCAAACAATAAAACAAGTCACACCTTGTAATGCACTGGATCACAGAAGATTGTGACGTCAAAATTTTGTGCACGTGCCAGAGCCATGGTGTTGGTAGCCTCCTCTTGTCCCCAGCCTGCAGCACGGGTGAAGGCATTCCTCCCCACCAACCCCTCCACCACTCGCCCATACATACACAGACCAATTTCATCAGTAGGATCACCAGTTGGTCCAGATTGAAATTTCAGGATAAAGCTGGAAATTTAATGAAAATATGAACATTCTATATACAGTATTGTACTATTGTTTTCTTAAAAATGTTATCAAAATCTATTATCTTCTCTCTCTTTACACATCATTTGAGATTGAAAATCTATCAAAATATCTAAAGCCTCAAATGACAAAATTGAAAAGTTAGCCAAAACGTGCTCTGAAAGGAGGGGAGTTCTTTACCATTTGGGATTGCCCTTGAGCAGCCAGAGAGCACCAATAGACCTGGAACACCAACAGAAGCTAAGAGACGAGATACCTGGTCTGAGACCGGACCCCGGGGACGTTTATCCCCGAAATCTTCAACAGGTAGTCAAGGTGAAATTCACACCAGTTACTCCCATCTACTGCACCAACATTCTATTATGCCAGAAGAACCACACATTTATGGATCATCCGATAAAGTTAGCAGACTTAAACTTTTACTGCTAGGCTTAGGTTTGGTTACAAGTACTGTTGTACCTCTGGAAGTTTACACCACCTGCTGCTGTAGAATTAACTAAATGTATACTCTGTCAGAACTATTCACATACTTTGTGTCACTATGTAATTGAATGTGAAAAAAAATAGCTGTTTTTTTTTCCAGCTGTTTCGCCCAGGGTTTAAACCCCGAGTCATTCTCACTTCCAAAGAGTGAAAAAGCTAAGCAGTACATCACAGGTTACTGTACTGGAAATTGCTTGGTTCCATCCATACTGAATTTTCAATATAACACTATAACAGTACATAATACTGGACTGTATACTGTACTGCCATGTATGTCCCGGTATGTATGCACGAATGCTGACATGCACATTATACTGTCATATGTATACAGTCATGCATACATGACTGCTGTACTGTACAGTATCTGTGATGTAACTCACCTGGTGGCATTTGGCGTGAATGTTCCCGTAACGTGAGCAATTTTTCCTGGTGTGAAACCTCCAGGAATTACCGTCATGTATGGCTCACCCTGCAGGGTTGATAAATATTTATTAGAAACTTGATGCACTATTATAATTTGAGAAGTGAGTCATACTAACACAATAAAGTACTGTATTAGGAATTAAAAAATTAATCGTGCAATTGCCTCCATACTGACATTACATACTAATTAAAAACTATCATAATAAAAATGAGGAAAAGGTTTTCATGATGATCAGTCTTGAACACCTTCTGCAAGTCAATAAATACGACTGTCCAATTACCTAATCGTTCTTGAAAAGTGCAGAGCAGATTACGTTCAGCATTTTGCTTCAGGTACATGTTTGCTTCTTAAGTTTGAAGCCAAATTAACCAGAATTTTGAAAATGTATTTTCTTCAGTAACAAAATTTTTTTTTTGAAGTGAGTGCAGGAGAAGACAACTTCTGATTCCTATTGGCAGATTAAGAGTTTTTCCTTCTCGTAGTTCATCTTGAGCCTTACTCTACTAGTTGTTACATGGAACTTGACCTGCCAATCGATTTACAACAAGGTCACCCAATTACTGCTGGGTGAATAGGGGGGCCAAACAGTTAAGGATCAATTGCCAAAAGACCCCTTCCTGACCGCGGCTCAAACCAAGTTGAAATCATTTACAACGCATGTGGTGACTGTGCTACCATTGTATCATAGGGATTTTAGTAACAATACTCTAATTTTAAATATTTTTGGTAGTACAGTATTAGTAAAATACAGTATACAGTATTTTTATATTGGTTTGTGTCTTGAATCAATCACTATCTTTGTGGACTGGGTAGGTCTACTTTGTTACTTAGAATGTCAGAAAAAGATCATTGATCCACGTGATTGAAAATCACTGCAATGTTAAGGTGGTACTTCAGTTTTATTACTCACATGATTTTTTTTATATAAATTACTACTGTATTATTGTACATATATAATTTGTCTAGGAAACTGACCGCATTTACTATCTCAAAAGGATAATACAGTACATATGTACAAAAAAAAAATTATTTTGTTAATTATTGTTACACCTCTATCGGAAGAAACTTGACTAAAAATGTGTGAAGAGTAATATTTACCCTAGGTTACCTGAAAGCCACTAACACTAGTGACCTCGATGAGGACAGGAAGCCAGCAGCTTGTTGACCCCCCCCCCCCCTCCCATTTGCCTTTATCTTTTATCTTGTCCAGCTGTACTTGAATGTACAGCTATAGTAAATATGTTTTTACGGTACATTAAAGGAAAACTCAAGTGCAATACTATATAACAACTGGTGTAATACATATACTATTAAATATTATAATTAAGACAATATTGGTGTAATGCTATTGCACCAATATTATCAAATCTGTTTTAACTGGCACCTTGTTGATGAAACCAAGATGACCCCACTAATGCATCTTGGTATTTAATCTTTCCTTAACCCCCAAGAAGTGTTCATCCATCTCTGTTTCTACTTAATATTTTAAAAATTATACACTCCGGCATTACAGGCATGTTAGTAACCCAGAGATTAAATAGATTCGTATACAAACTTACCGGATTGTAAATTGGCGACCCCATGGCTGCTTCTTTGATCTAAAAGCTGATGTGGAACTGTGGTAATGAAATGCTAAATATTATAAGATGAAAATAAATTCTTACAAATAAATTTAATATAATTCCACAGATTAATTAAGCATTACACTGTACATAAATACATTTAATATAAGTCAGTGGCAGACTAGCCAAGCCATTCCATTTGTTCCATTAGCTCTTCCTGATAGCCCATATATTCATCTAGCAAATTTCCCATGTCCAAGCCTCTTAATCTCATTTTGAAAGGGACCATATTTTACTGAACAAAAACAACTGCAACTTGAAATAACAAACAGGAGCAGAGAATTTGGTTTTAAATATGCTCAGTAGGCCCAGTATTTCCCAAGGCCCCAACTATTACTTTAAATGTTTACTCAATCCGTGAACTCAGTCTCAACATCCTAAGCAAATCCACACATTCTCCACTTCATTGAACTCTTGTTCATCATATCAGACGAGTACATCCAGCATGGAAAGTGTATATTCCAACCAGTGATTCACTGAATCAAGGTTCCACTTATATTTTAAAAGAAATTATGATCTCCCTGCTGGACAGAGACCAACTTCTGTTGCTGCAAATTATCCAAATATATAAGGCTCTTTATAAGGCACCAATTTGCATGGGTGGTAAAGGCAAGCAAGACGTGTAAAGCAAAAACTGAAGAAATCAATCTTAAAGGTACAAAAAGTGCCAGGAAAATAGGGTCTTATTCAAGACTACTGTACTTGACAGAGTACTGTACAGTGTTGGTGGGGGAAGGATGGACTATATACTCTGTCAAACACAAGTATGACTTGTAAAGCTGATATCTGTTCTTAGAGAACAGTTACAAGAATTTATTTATGGATACAAATTACTGTATGATATAATTTTACATTTATTTTATAAAAGCAACTTATTATCTGTTCTGGCTGAATATTCAATAATCAACAACATGAATAAAACCTCTAACCCTGTCCAAGGTGAGCAGTTAATATCATTATAATAATAATAATAATAATAATATTAATAATAATAATTATTATTTGTGTGTGTGTGGGTGGGTAGAGGACATCACCATACAGTATAGGTACAAAATCATTTAATGTACTGTAGTCAATTTAACTTGAATTCAATCTGCATGTGCCTTCTCAATATTTTCCAGCGAGATTTGTCTGGTATAACCTGATACAATAGCTATATAAAGCAAGACCCAAGAGCTAGATCTCGTTCTCGGCAAGCACAGCACGGTAAGCACAGGAGGAAACGACCGGAACACACCAGACCAAACTTAGCCACGAAACTAGGTCAACGAACCACAAATCAGAGAAAACTACAAATGTAGATCAGTCTAACGGACCCATTTCTAAAATGAAAATGTGGAAAACGGCCCCTATAATATGTCACAAACCTCTAACACAGCGACAGCAGTAGAGGACCAGAGGAGATGACGCAGTGTGACACAGTGACACAGTGTTTAGGAAAGTACGATACTCCGGCCGCCGCCTCTCCGGCTGTCGTGCTCCACCACCAACTTTTTTGTACAGGTACGTGTCATGCCTACAGCTGATCAGAATTACATTTCACCTTTGTAAATGCACATTAATGACATTTAGAACCTGTACTTCGAACACTTTATGTAGGACATACGTAAATCTGTGTATCTATGTATTTAAGTATGTAGGTTAGCTTAGTATTTTAAAAGTACCGAATCACCTTCTGTGGTTGATTGTTCAATAACTCCCAGAACTATATGTTTAACAGATCTCTAACCCTGTCCATGGAGGACAGAAGAAAATGTATATATGCTGGTTAGCATTGTATCTGACTCTGCACCTATTTTCATTTTCAAATTACGACTTTTTATACCGAAAATATGCCAATTACTGAAAACGGCGATGGGCCATATTTTGCCCAAACCCCCCCTGCAGTTTTCAAAATATCTGAAATGTCGGAAATTTGACACCTGAGCGTGAATTTTGAGCCGAATTCTGACTCTGCACCTATTTTCATTTTCAAATTACGACTTTTTATACCGAAAATATGCAAATTACTGAAAACGCCGATGGGTCATATTTTGCCCAAACCCCCCCCTGCAGTTTTCAAAATATCTGAAATGTCGGAAATTTGACTCCTGAGCGTGATTTTGGAGCCGAATTCTGACTCTCTGCACCTATTTTCATTTTCAAATTACGACTTTTTATACCGAAAATATGCCAATTACTGAAAACGCCGATGGGTCATATTTTGCCCAAACCCCCCTGCAGTTTTCAAAATATCTGAAATGTCTGAAATTTGACTCCTGGGTGTGATTTTTGAGCCGAATTCTGACTCTCTGCACCTATTTTCATTTTCAAATTACGACTTTTTGTACCGAAAATATACCAATTACTAAAAACGGCGATGGGTCATATTTTGCCCAAACCCCCCTGCAGTTTTCAAAATATCTGAAATGTCGGAAATTTGACTCGTGAGCGTGATTTTTGAGCCGAATTCTGACTCTCTGCACCTATTTTCATTTTCAAATTACTACTTTTTACACCGAAAATATGCCAATTACTGAAAACGGCGATGGGTCATATTTTGCCCAAACCCCCCTGCAGTTTTCAAAATATCTGAAATGTCGGAAATTTGACTCCTGAGTGTGATTTTTGAGCCGAATTCTGACTCTCTGCACCTATTTTCATTTTCAAATTACGACTTTTTATATCGAAAATATGCCAATTACTGAAAACGGCGATGGGTCATATTTTGCCCAAACCCCCCTGCAGTTTTCAAAATATCTGAAATGTCGGAAATTTGACTCCTGGGCGTGATTTTTGAGCCGAATTCTGACTCTCTGCACCTATTTTCATTTTCAAATTACGACTTTTTATACCGAAAATATGCCAATTACTGAAAACGGAAATGGGTCATATTTTGCCCAAACCCCCCTGCGGTTTTCAAAATATCGTAAATGTCGGAAATTTGACTCCTGAGCGCGATTTTTGAGCCGAATTCTGACTCTCTGAACCTATTTTCATTTTCAAATTACGACTTTTTACACCGAAAATATGCCAGTTACTGAGAACGGCGAATAGGTCATATTTTGCCCAAACCCCCCCTGCAGTTTTCAAAATATCTGTAATGTCGGAAATTTGACTCCTGAGCGTGATTTTTGAGCCGAATTCTGATGATTGTAAATGTGTGGCCACGTCTGTGGTAGCAAATAATAATAAAAAAAGTATTTTATTTATTATTTTTATTTTTTTTTGAGATATATACAAGAGTTGTTACATTCTTGTACAGCCACTATAGTACGCGTAGCGTTTCGGGCAAGTCCTTAATCCTATGGTCTCTGGAATACGAACCCCACGAAGAATCGTTTTTACAACCAGTTGTAGTTAGTTTAGTTCATTTATTATGCACCCCATACCCATCTTGTGGGCGGTAGTGGAAAGGGTTACAGAGGCACATAATGGGCTCAGGGACTGAACCCCACAATTCATTTAGCTAAGCAAGTTACAATCTTGATGAGCTAGTTACAAAATTCAATATAAGTCGTCACATCAACAATGCGTTCGAGATCGACCACAAGTACAGGTTCTAAATTAAGCAACTGACATATGTGGAGAGCTAGTGTCACAATTGATATGTTTGTCCTGCACACCGCCCCCCATCCAGTGGGCAGCGGTGGATAGGTTACAATCACTTAATTACTACCTACAGTTAGCAAACTGGGGATATTTGGCTAAAATTTCTGGTAGCAGATCATTTTGAATGAAATACTGACACATCGTTGGTACATTGGTTATAGAATTGTCTCTAAATTAACGTATCTTTTCGCACTCCATCACATAGTGACGGAGGGTGTGCGAATAATTTTGTTGACACAGTTTACATTTGGTCAGGTCTACATCGGCAAATAATGAGAATTCCCAGAGATACTTGTAACCGAGTCTAAGCCGAGCAGTAGTAACATCTAGAAGTTTGCTGATTTTATTGGATGAACCATAGATGTGTGGCTCCTCTTGCATGATAGTATGATGATAGATGGAATTACTGGTGTCGATTTCGCTTTGCCTCAGATCTACAAGATCTTGTTGAAGTTTTCGGTGTACTGCTGCTCTCAGATTGCTCATTGACAATCCAAGGTTACACTCAACGGCTCCTTTAAAGGCAGATTCTTTGGCTAACTTATCAGCTCTATCATGCATTCGGAGACCAACATGAGATGGAGACCACATGAAATGGACTCTGTTACCATCCTTAATAATTGTGTTGTATTTGTGTCTAGCTTCGGACACAAGCATGTTATAGTTATGTCTTAAAGAGTTGAGAGCTATTAAGGATGATAAGGAGTCACTTATAATTAATGTATCAAGTTTGGAGACTTGTACACATTTCAGTGCAAGGATCAAGGCAAAAGTTCGGTCTGAAGGGTAGAGGCCCAGTTGTTTATACGGACTCCCTACTCAAAGTACAAGCCATCGCTAAAGGAAGTAGACGCAAGATATCATAAGTGATACCATCTTCACCAGGGGATGTGGCTTTACCTTTGTTTAGGGCCGCGAGTAATTCAAACTCAGTAAATGGCACGTTGCATTCATCTTCCTTGTGGAGCATGAAGTCAACGAGCCTTTCTCGATCTCCGTAACCAGCATTTAATCTGAACTGTATGTCTGGGGGAAGATTATTGAAGCTAGAGGTGGTTGCCTAAGCATCGACTAACTCGTTGTTTGCTCTGTGTAGAGGGTGAGGGTGTGACACTTGGCCGATCTTATCGCTTTTAATTATTTTAATATCCTTCCCTGCCTGGCTGAGGGGGGGGGGTGAGAGTTGAGACTGTTAACAAAAGTTTCCCAGTTATCTTGCCTGAGCTCTGTCATGCGCTCCCTCGCCTTGGCTACGGCTTTCTGAAAGAGCTTGAGCATTGCTGGCGTACGTGTTTCCCTATATGCAAACCCAACTCGTCTGACAGTGCTTTTCAAAGTACACAATGTCGTGCCACTTTATGTCGTCATTGTAGATGTTCTCCAGCACCGAGAGTCCTCGTTCCCTTCCCAGTTGTGTGGCTGTGGTCGCCCGAGCCTGGGGAAGGAAGTATCAATTATTATATGCACATGTATCTAATTTATAACCGTTAAACACTAACAAGTAAACTCATTTCTGGCGATAACTCTTTATGAAGTCTTCTATCCTTTTCTTGGGTACTAACTAGCTGCATGGAAGCCTCTGCCAAGACTAGAAGGAGTTTGCTTGATCCCAGCTGTAGGCATTAGTATTCACGCACCATTAGAAATGGTAGTTCTTACCAGCCCCTCTTCATGTATCTGAAACAATTAAAATTTAAATTAATCTAAATTTACTCAAATGGGACAGTAAGACATGTTGAGTCTAAACCTACATCTTGGGTACTCCAAGCACATGTCTGGTTTGATCTATGGGATTTAGAGTTTAATAAAATCAAACAAGCTTTGTACTAACCATGTTACCAGGTATTCCACAGGATGGAGTGTAGAGTTTGCTGTGGCCTTGAAGGATGAGACTTAAGGTGGGACCAATGGAAGCTGAGGGGAAACCGGAATTCTTACGGGCTCACTATAGCCCGTGCTATATAGACATTTCGTTCTGAGTAGCCAAACCTAAAACAGAAGCTGGGATTGTGGTCGAAGCTGGAGTAGAGGTCGAGGGGCGAATGGAAGTTGGGGTACCTGAAATGCAGGAAGGGGTTGGAAGGACAAGAGTGTCGCTTGAAGAGTCAACTGTTGGACGTAATATGGAACTGGAAAGCAACTAGTTTGAAACCGGTTAGTGTCTTGAGAACTGTAGACTTTCCCTGAAGGAAAAGTTCAGGGAAGGGAGAGGCAAGAGAAAATTGGTTTTGCATAGGATACGGGAGGAACACCAAGGTCTGTGGTCTCCGGAGGCCCAACACACCCACACTAGTATTTTAAGCAGAAACATTGTGGAAACTGAAAAATATTATCAATTTAAGACTAACGAGTGCATTCAGGCTTAACCCTGGCGCAAAAATATGGTTAATAGGGTAAGCCAAGGAAGTGGGGTAGAGAAGTGTCACAGATCAGTTTGAGGTCTGCTATAGGTCTTGAGGTCTGCTGCTTGAGGTCTGCTATACACGCAGCATTATGCACATTAAACCCAACCTTCGATTCGCCAAGACAAATCTGAAATGTTAGTTCCCCCATAAAAAGGGAGGGAGGGGGGACAACAAGGGGCAGGAGGGGGACGCAACAAGGGGCTGGGGGGGGGGGGTGGTAGGGGGTGGCAGTTACAGTTTAAAAAAAAATTAATTTTGCTAGAAATTATCTACTTAAAATTGTCTGTCAGATTAAGGACCTGCCCGTAACGCTATGCGTATTAGTGGCTTTACAAGAATGTAAAAACACCAATGCTGTGTACTCTCCTAAACCCAATGTACTTTTTTGTATATATTTATAAATGAATAAATAAATTAGTTGTGGAGCGGCCATTAACAGTTCTGGACTGACGGACGATTACTACTTCACTGCCGATTCTATTGCAAATGTTGCTCTGTTGTACCTGTTGTTCTGTTGCAAC